TTTGTAAAGATCTTTAATGTAATGGCTATAAACTCTCGTTTAATAAAAGTCTCGCATTTAATGCTTATTTGTGATTTAAAAAAAAAAAAAAAAAAAAAAAAAAAAATAACATGTATATAGTATTATAGTTAATAAAGCAATGCCTAGCTAGTGTTTAAAAAGTAAAATTAAAAATAAACTAATTTATAATTTTTGATTTTTGAAAAATTTTTAAAAATTAAATAATATATCTATATTAATTATTTTTTAAGTATTAAGTTAACAATAGCATTTGACAATATAATTTTTAGCATTGGATAATTAAAAGTATTTTAAAATAATTAATAATTATCTCAAGTAATATTGGTTAATAAATAAAACATTATGGATTTTTTGTAAATTCCAAGAAAAACTCTTGTTATACTTCAAATTTCTAAGAAATTTTTTTTTTTTTATAATTTCAAAAACAAAACAAGAAAATTCAAGAACCAATATATAAGAAACCAGATAAATGGTAACATACTTCTTGAGCGCACCTACTACTACAAAGCTTTATTTTTTATATTGTTTAAGATCACGAGGTAAAATATTCGCTTCGATATAATTATGAGACTATTGTTCTTTTATGAGAATTTCTGTATAAATACGTAATTAAAAATAAATTTCAACAAGATTCAATTAATCATTTATTTTATCATACTTTGTTTAAAAATTCTTAAAAACTTTAGATACTATATAGGATAATGGTCTAATCTAATAATTGATTAGAAGTTGTCCTGTAAATACTGACTGAAGTTTGCTATATTCATGAAACATTTAATACTTTCATAATTATCGTAAAGGAGAAATAGACATGGTTCATGATTGTTAAAGACGAAATTAAAAAGAATTAAATGAAAGTTTTTTTTTTATTTTAAAAAAAACAACAACCGAAATTCATGACATAGCGGCATAGCTATTTCGATCTTTTATGCATTTACAAAGTTTAATCAATAAATTGCAGCGTCTAATTCCACTCACAATTGAATGGATGGATACGTACAAAGTATCAAGGCAAAAAACGAGTCATTTGGGGTGTGAACCGTGAAAAAATAAACACTATTGCTATGTATCATCACAATGCAACTAGAAAGTTTATTGCAAATATGACTAAAGCCTAGATTCTTAATTTTTAAAATTCACATTAATCAAGACCGGATGATCTTTCGCTACCACCATAAAATCTGATTCTTCAACCAATAATCGGATCGTACGGGTTGCTTTCGCTTTAGCGGGGCGGACTTTTATTAACCCGGCTTTCTCAAGTCTTTCTACTAAAACATGGAATTCACTGGAAACAGATGGGATGACAAGATTGTCCTTACGACAGAGTCGTAGATATTCAGAACGTAACTATAAGCAAAATAATAATGATAATGGAAAGAGAAATAAATAAACATAGATCTTAGTGGCAGGTAACAATTGAACACAGCATAGCATTAACCGAACTTTACCTCGTCATAGGTAACTTTTTTGATTTTCTTGATTTTCATGATTATACAGGTACAAATTATAAGTAATTGGTGAACAGTTAATTCTCTTAACCTTTTCACCATGTGCGTACCAGTAACGTCAGTATTTGTGATCTGATTAATATGGCTGATTGTAACAATAGATTTCTTTGGGAAATGCAAATTTTCTGACGGCGTTGGCTCCACAATTTTATCTTCTATGGACAGGTTAGTCTCAGATTCTTCTATTTCCGTTTCTGCTAATTCCATTGCTTTCCTAAAGACGTCTAAAGCCTTTCTGCAATCACCATTACTAGAAGCAACTCGTTTTGCACACAATTCAATTGCCTGATCCTGTATTAACGACACGTCAGAATCTTGCGATGATAGAAAGGATGAGAAACTATCACTGTCACCGGTATTAGTCCGTGCAACGGTAATGCGATCTTTTACTATGTCCACAATTTCAGAGGCACTATAAGCAGAAAAGTTTATTACTTTCGGCAAAACTACCAATCATGTAAAGATTTGTCGCATTAGTTTTGTGCCAAGTAAGAAAGGAATTAATTTAATATAAGTGAAGAATATATACTATTTTTAATTTTGAGGCGCGGGAGGTATCGTTCTGTAAGTTCAGGACGATTCGATATCCCGATCAGAACCAAACGCGAGGATTTTACGGTTGACCATTCAAATAATCGATATATCACTTCTTGATCGACGGTCATCAGAGAATCTATTTCGTCTAGTAAAACAACACTGTAATTGCGGACGGATGATTAGATAATGCGAGTAAAAATCAGGGACATTAGGAATAAATCACTTACTACATGAGCTTCTTTTTTGACTTCAGAAATAAATTATCTAAAGCTTCTTCGGCATTCTTTGCAGTATCGTACCCCAAATTATCCAACAATTTTGTGTAAATTCTTTTTGGTTCATCGACGTTCATGCAATTAATCATAATAAATTCAACGGAACACCTTGCTTCTTTTTTGATAGTATCTTTCATGCTGTTCCAAACTTCATTGACTAGCGCTGTTTTACCAGTTCCGGGAGCACCAGTTATGTAGAGACTTCCCGGAGTTCCTCCAATTATATTACTCTTCAAAAACTCGGTAATAGCCTCCCGCTCATTATTACGACCTACAAGTTTCGTGGGGACAGTGGACAATCGAAAAAGCAACTTTGCCTCTCCAATAACTTCGGTTGGAGAACTTGATGACGATCTTTTTAATAAGTCAACAGTGCGAGTACTCTTGGGCGTTAAATAACAAGAAGTCGTTTCGGAGATAGGAGTTATGAGCCCTTTACTGTTAGGAGTCGTTGGAGTGCTGGGTGTAGTGACGCGACGTCTTTTTGGTGTCGTTGGAGTGCTGGGTGTGGTGACGTGACGTCTTTTTGGTGTTGTTGGAGTACTGGGTGTAGTGACGCGACGTCTTTTTGGTGTTTGATGTACTGATTTCGATAAGTGTTTGGTGTTCTCGGGCTCATTTTGATAAGTATCCGAACGAACTTTGCTCCTCAGAAAATGTTTATGCTTCGCTGCAATTCCTATTTCAGGTCTTATGTTAGAATATAGGTCGAAGGAACTTTATTTAAATAAATATACTTTACCATTTAAACTTCGTTCACTTGACGTTGAGCGACTCCTTTTGCTTATGGTCGCGTGAGAATTTTGTTTCTTAGGCATCTCGGTTTAAAGTTCAATACTATTTTGGTCGAAACAGTTTAATGGACTACGAGGTCGTACTTCGGGACAAAAGTTCACGTTTCCATATTCTCATTACATGACGTTACTTAAACTTCACGATACACGTACAATGTAACCATAAAAATGCATATCACCAAAAAAAAATTGTATTTTACAAATTTTATCATCTGATCATCATAATTATAGCATTACAACGTGACTACGCCCACACCAATCACAATCATGCATCATATTTTAAAAAGACTAATGATTTTTGGTCTAAATGCCAATTGAAGTCCTATTAATATCCCATCAAGAAAATTTGCCCTGATGGAGAAAATTGCATGCTGAATTCTATATAGTTCAACAATTAATATTAAAACATGTGTGAATTAAAAATTTTTCATTCTTATGCGAACAAATCAATTCGGTTTCGCAGAGGCTACTGCTGAGTACAGCTCATGGGCTGTTCTTCATCATCTTCTTCGTCGTCCTCGTCCCATATGTTTCCTTCTTTTCCTTTTTTCTCTCCATACTATTGCATCAAAGTTAAATTAGAATAAATATTAAACTCAATACGAACAATGATAATTTTGATAATATTACATCGCTGATGTTGGCATCTTTTAAGTGCACTTCATCTGAAATTTCTGGTTGATTTGAGGGATCCTCAACATCACGAGTAGGCAAGAAGGCCTCCAATTCCTATTCAAGATATGTTAAATCAGCTGTCACGTCAGTACATTAAGTTCTTGGTGCTATAAAATTACCTTCAATTGTTCTGGTGAAATCCACGAAGGCGACGGGAATTCCACATTAAATTTGAGATATAAGTTTCCTTTGTCAAATGGACGCTTATAATGAGGCATTCCTTCATTCTCTATGCATTTAATGGCTCCTGGCTTTATCACCTCACCAGCAGGATGATTTATAATTAAACCGCGACCATCAAGATGCGTAACAAGAACCTTCGAAAATCCACATAATGCCTCGGTAATGGAAATGCTTACTTCTGTAAGCAAATCATCACCTTGACGCTCAAATTTTTCATGAGGTTTTTGTTTAAGAACAAGAATCACATCCCCTGTCTCAACTCCAGGCTATGAATATGCACACATTAAAGGAGGAATTGCGTTCGGTAAAAAACAGGTACGGAAAATACCAGCAAATATTCATACCTCTTGATCCGCCTCACCCTGCATAACTATTTTCTGATTATTTTGCATACCTTTATCAATGAAAATATCCAACTTTTTCTTTTCATTAAGGACCTTAAGACCTTTACATTTTTTGCATTTGTCCTTCTCCCTAATTATTTCTCCCGCGCCATCACCTTAATTATTTTCAAACTAAATATTTTGATGGATAGTGGAACAATTATTAAAACATAGGAATCACGTTTACATACAAGTTCCACAGACGGTGTTTATCCTTTGAATCATTCCAGGACCGATCTGCCTCATGGCAATTTTGACACCGCGACCTTCACAACTGTGACATTTCTTAGTCGCTCCGGTTTTGCTACCCTTGCTGTAATTTATTTTAAATACTTAATATCACACATTCTTGAAAACATATGGCTGAACTTCTGATTCGTGATTTTACCCGTGACACACGGAGCAGACAATGTCCCGCTGTAAAAATATTTTTGCTTTCTTGCCGTTGTAGAGATCTTCCAGAGTAACATTGAAAGGTTTGACTATATCTTCACCTCGTTTCTGTCTGGAAAACCCACCGCCTACAATCGATTACCAATGTAAAATAAATCAGCTGAGGTGTGAGTGATTTGTTGAAAACTTCAAATAATAAAACCCCAATAATTACCACCCATACTACCGCCTCCAAATCCAAATAAGTTCGTTAATATATCTTCGGCTGACGGGACACCGCTATTTGAAAGACCTTCTTCACCATAACGATCGTACATCTCCCTACGAGAAAAAGGTACAACCAATTACATAAGAAGTTCAACATATGCGAAGCAATCGAATCGACCGAGCTACCTTTTTTCCTGATCACTCAAGATTTCGTATGCATGACTAATTTCTTTGAATTTTTCCGAGGCTTCTTCATCCGGATTTTTATCGGGATGAAATTTCATCGCCTAGAAAATTAAATGTGAGCCATAAATTAGGCTTGTGAAATCGATGAATAAATCAAGGGTACAACGCGTTTGTTAAATTCATAAATTCTAACAATCGAAGTCTTTATCTATGATATTTCTTCGAGTGCACTTACTAACTTCCGGTAAGCCTATAAAGAAATGTTAAAAGCAACATCTTTAGTGATAAACTCTTTGTTCTAATTATAATGCAGGGGAGAGAACTTACTTTTCTTATTTCATTCTCAGTAGCATTAGACTCGACCCCGAGAACTTCATAATAATTAGTAGGTCGCATCGCAAAATAGATCTAGATCAAGAATGAAAAGAAAGAAAGAATATATAGCTAATAAGGAAATTTTAATTTCATGTGACACAGATCATGTGTGGTATTCATATATCGTATTCGCTAGTTACAGATTTAATTTTTCAAGGAATATAAAAGAGATATCGGATGGATGTTCCTTAAGCATTTGATGATGTATGCTTACTGATTGTTATTTTTTAATAATAGTAATTATTTTATATTACCTGGAAACGAATGTTGAGTTATCATTATTACACGATTGTTGATGATTCAATACTCTTTATAAAGTATAAATAAGTCCCATTTTCATATGTTTGAGCAAGATGAAGAATCAAAAATTAGAAACCCATATGAAATTTTATCAAAAAGGATAAATAAAAGGAAAATGATTCTTAATACAAAATGTTCAGATCACAAACTTATCAGAAATCTTGAATTAGAAAATAACAGAGATTAAAAATAACAAAAAATAAAATAAAATAAAAATTATAAGATAAACACTATAAAAATATTATTTGAAAAACTTTTAAAAATGTATATTTACAGTATATATGATTTAGCAATTAATAATTAATAATTATATACTGTATATAATAATTAAAAAAATTATATAAAATTTTTTTCAAAATAAAGTATTAATTAAAGAGAAATTAAATATAAACTATTTTGATTATTGCTAAGAAATAAAATAAAATAAAATAAAATAATTTAATTTAATTTATGAACTTTTCCTGCTAATTCTTTTGCCAACTCAAAAAACAGATTCTCAAAAAACTATTTTATTTTTTGATAATAAAGTTTATATACTCTTCTTAATATCTTATTTCTTAAAATTAATGTTTCTTTTATTTGTTTATTTTTTCTTTTTCAAAAAACTTTTGTATATTTCAATAACAAAATAAATAAAACTTCATCTATTTGATTTATAACAAAAATATCTTATTGAAAAAAAAATCTGTCAAAAAACATTTTTATAATATATTTTTTAGGTTTGAAACCTTAAAAAATGAATTATTAATAAGTATATTTTTCAAGCTTTATATGAATTTTAAATTTATTATAAATAAATATATTAAATATTAAATAAAATATACAGTCTGATTCAAAAAAAAACAGAATTGAATTTTTCTTATAATTTAATAAATAATAAATTAAATTAAATAAAACTTCTAATATATATTATTTATATTAAAAAAAATAATATATTAAAGTTTTATTAATATTTAATTAATAATTTATTTTAAAATATCAATTTAAAGTTGAAAAAAAAAT